GCGCCTACTCAAGCAGCTAAAGGGACCCGATGGCTTCCTCTTCTTCCTCCGCCCCCGCCGTATGGGACTCGGCTACGCAGACGTTCCATGGCGGTCAGGACTGGAAGTTCCTGTCCAACTTCGCCGTGGACTTTAGCGTGACCACGAATGCGCTAGGCACGCCCAAGAAGGCGCTGGAGGCCGCTACCCAGGCCATGAGCACCGTGCACCACTACCCACCTGCTGACTTCCAGCCTGCCATCAGCCACTTGGCCGAGTTCCTGTGGCCCGAGAGCTGGCAGCAGAATCTGCCGCTGCTGCTTATGGGCAACGGCGCCAGCGAACTCATCGATCTGGTGATCCGCAGCGTGCAACCTGGGGGCTGGCGTCCCGGCGGCACGCTAACGCAGTACAAGGAGTATGAGCGCTCCAGCAAAGCCGACGGTCGCGAGACTCTTGCTTGGAATGACCCTAAGGCTGCATTGACGTGCCTCGTGAACCCAACGAACCCCACGGGCGACTACATGAACGTGGACGAGATGAAGAGCTACATCGAGACCAACTGTCCCGACAACCACACTATCATCATCGACGAGAGTATGCAGCCGTGGGTGGGTCCTAACTGGCGTGAAGATTCGCTGATCCACCAGCGCGAGTGGGTCAAGCAGCTCAGCGAGACCCGCCGCATCAATGTGTGGGTCATGACGAGCTGGACTAAGATCTGGTCTTGCACGGGTCTGCGTATCGGCAGCGTGGTCGCCCCCACGCCCCAGCACGCCGCTGAGATCAAGCGTAAGCAGGTGCCGTGGTCAGTTAACTCCATGGCGCTTGCCTTCGTGTCCGCTGTGGTCAAGGACGACGCGTACCTGCAGGAGACGTGGGACGTCACGCCCAAGTGGCGGGCTCACGCTGTGGAGCAGCTGTCCAAGCGCTTCCCCACTTGGGAGTTCTTCGGTAAACCTTTCCTGTCATGGATCTGGCTGGACACCAAGTCGGTCGCCACGAGCGAAGAGGCCTGCAAGCTGGCCAAGGAGCACGGCGTCCCTGTGCGTAGCGGCAAGCCCGGCTACAACCTCCCAACGTTCGTGCGCATCGCCGTCCGCAGTCCAGAGCAGACCGCTGTACTGCTCAAGGCCTGGGAGCCGCTTCAGTAAGCTCTCTATTGCCTGCTTCTCTATGCATGTTTGGGTTAGATACGACATGAACATGCAGCTAGCTTTCCAATTGGATTCGTCTGTTAAAATTTCCGCTCTTTACTCCCTGTCCGGCGACATTCGATGGTCCAATCTCTTGAATTTGCCCTCCCAACCGCGCAGCACGTCCGTGTATTTCTCGATCAGGTCGTTCTTCTCCGCCAGCTCCGCCTCGAGGTTGAGAATCTCCAGCTCCAGCTCGCTCTGCTGCTGGCGTCCACCCGCAACTTCTGCGTCTGACTCTGCAGTGGACGTCTCTAGACT